ACTAAAAATACAAAATTATCTTGGAGTGGTGGCAGGTACCTGTAATCCCAGATACTTGGGAGGCTGGGGCAGGAGAATCACTTGAACCTGGAAGGTGGAGGTTGCATGAGCCAATATCACGCCACTGCACTCCAGCCTGGGCAACAGAGACTCCATCTCAAAAAAAAAAAAAAAAAAAAAATTGCATCAAATTACACACACACACACAAATGAGTGCATGAAAAAAATGGTGAGATGTGAATATGGTCTGTGGTCTATGTAGCTACAAGGATTGTATCAGCATCAGTTTCCTACTTTTGATATTACACTATAGCTGTGTTCCATGTTACTATTGGAAGAAGCTGGGTGAAGGGTACACACAACATCTTTGCAATTTCCTGCGAATCTATAAATTCTTTGAAAAAATAACTTAAAAAGAGAGAAATGTACAAAATGGTTGTATCCTGCATTCTCTAAAATTTGAAAAAAATTGGAAAAAAAGAAAAGCAAATTCCAAAGCCTTTCTCTGGGCTGTTGGCAGCCGCTGCAGGCAGCGAGGGAGCGCCACCTGCCCAGAGCACGTGAGGTTGGTTTTCATTGTCACTGCAGAGGTGACACCTCTGGACTTTGCTGCTGCTTAGGAACCAGGCACACTCAGCAGCACAGTGGGGACACAGTGTGGCCATTTTGAACACCACAGCCTGGGATTTAGATTTTTCTTTCTCTGGCCCTAGCAAAAGGGACCCCTATGGTAAACACGCTGCCTAGTGAGGCTTGAAAGAGAATAAACGAGACTGTGGTTGGCAGGGGTTCTCCAGATGTGGACAGCAGGCTCTCCTGGGCCATGCCCTTTCTGAATACTCAGTCCAGCTGTGCTATCTCCGTGAGGTTGCTAATTGGAAGCAAATTCTGAAAGCCACCCCACTTTGGGTGGCTTTCTGGGATTTCAGCCAATCCCAGAGAGGCCTGGAGATGAGCTTCCTTTAAGACAAGGCAAGGAACCATGGGTTTGTTCTAAATTTTCAAGGACATGGAATCCTTTGAAAAGATTTCTTAAGGGAGAAGGTGCTTGACTTTGGCGGACATCCCCCGTTGAGTCCAAACCTGAGAGCATCGGGAAAGCAGAAGGTGGGAATTCATGGTGAGGGGTGTGTGTTCCCAGGGAGAAGCTGGGGGCACTTTTCCTGCCGTGAACACTCTCCATCCTGGGTTTCTGTCTTTGAATTAGAAACAAAAGTTCCAGGGAAAACCCACTTCAAAATCTGCCCAAATAAAGGGCTGTGACAATAAGGAGATGTTGTCAAAAAATATGTCTTTATGGTTTGGATCTCTGTCCCCAACAAATCACATGTTGAATTGTGATCCCTAATGTTGGAGGTGGGGCCTGGTGAGAGGTGATTGGATCATGGGGGTGGATTTCTCATGAATAGTTTAGCACCATCATCCCCTTGGTGCTGTTCTCGTGATAGCGAGAGCTCTCGTGAGAGCTGGTTCTTTTTGTGGGAGGGGGGAGGGGAGGGATAGCATTAGGAGATATACCTAATGTAAATGATGAGTTAATGGGTGCAGCACACCAACATGGCACATGTATACATATGTAACAAACCTGCACGTTGTGCACATGTACCCTAGAGCTTAAAATATTAAAAAAAAAAAAGTGTGGCACCGCTCCCCCCCCCACCTCTTCCTTTTGCTCTGGCCGTGAGAAGTGTTGGCTCCCCCTTTGTCTTCCGCCATGATTGTAAGTTTCCTGAGGCCTCCCCAGAAGCTGAGCAGATGCCAGCATCATGCTTCCTGTATAGCCTGCAGAACCATGAGCCAAAGTTTAAGAGGTTTAGCCTGTTTTCTTTATAAATTACTCAGTCTCGGGTATGTCTTTATAGCAGTGTAAAAGTGAACTAATACATACACATCTGTCAGAAAAAGATACATTTAATAAAGATGGAATGTAAACATCAAGTATTTTTATTTACAAACAAAGTTTTAAAACAGAACTAAAATAATTTCTATAACACATGTTTTCACTGTTCTTCAATATTTCTCTTTTAACTTTTTAAAGATTTTCTTCTTAAAATTTTCTTGTAGAGATGGGGTCTTGCTATGTTACCCAGTCTGGTCTCGAACTCCTGGCCTGTGATCCTCCCTCCTTGGCCTCCCAAAATGCTGGGATTACAGGCAAGAGCCATCACACCCAGCCAAGATTTTCTTTTTTTATTGTCTGCATTTATTATATGCAACAAGATGTTTTGACGTACATATATGGAGTGATTACCACAGACAAGCAAATTAACACACCGTTAACATATTACATGCACCATTAACGTGTCCTTGTTCTTGTGTGTGTGTGTGGTGGGGGGTGTGTGTGTGTGTGGTGGGGGGTATGTGTGGTAAGAGCACCTAAAACCTACTCTCTTGGCAGATTTCCAGTGTACAATGTGTACAATGCTTATAAACATTTTTCTCTATTAAAACAAAACAAAAAACCACCACATATATGGAAAGGGCTGCGCTGGATGCCTGAAGAGGAAGCTTGATGGTTCTAAGCCAAGAACAAAAAGGGGCCTGATCTACAGAAAAATTGGAAAGCCGGCAAAGTTTGCTGTGAGGGCCCTTTCTCTGCTCCCACCTGTGCTGATCTCCTTTTTTCCTACAAGAGCCCATTGGCCTTTTATAGTTCCTGGGAAAAATGAAGCCCCCTTGAATTCGAGACTTCCCCCTCTCCTTCCCATCCAGTTTCAACCCCCACACACCTGTGGCCTGCACACTGGGGGTTCTTTTCTGTTTGTTTTGATCATCTTCCTCTTTGAAAATAACCTTCGTAAAACAAACCGAATACGGCACCATTTCCCTCCAGATTCATGCTCCAGGAAGAAAGGGTGCTGGAGGCTACCGGGGGCCTCACAGCCCACATGATCTCTGTGTTACATTCATTTTCCACTAACAAATCACAGAACATACCCTGCCATTAGGCTCATGCCAGGTGTCTTTGTTAACTTTGGGTCTTGCTGAAGTTGAGTAATGTCAGGGCAAATAGAACACAAGGAAGCTGAGGCGTTCTCTGGCTTTCCGTTGCAAAACAGACCTGTTGATGCTTGGTGACAAGCTTCTCAATCCCAGAAGCACGAAGCCAGCAAGGCTGGGAAAGCCCCTCGGGTGAAGGCTCCATCAGAAGAGAATAAACTTTATCAAAACGTGGTTAGCCCTATCACAGCAGCAGCATTTCAGAAGCATCCTACAAAGTTGCTTGTTTCATTGACAAACTAAAGAAACCCCACATGTTTGGAGAGTTCTTGGTGAAGCCTGTTCATTGGAAGTGGTCATGCTTGTGTGTAGCTTAGAGAAGAAGAAAATTCCAGTGGTTCCTCAGTCAAATGGTGTAATCCACTCCACAATCATTGCCATCTCTTCTAATATTCTGAACCAGGCATAGAGAAAGTAGAAGCTCAGTGCACAGCTAAATGAAATTACCAGAGATTCTCAAGGCCGCCATTTCCAGCTTTTCACAAAACCACTGTGCTCACATCAAGAGCATCAAGGAAAGCTTCCTATTCCGTGAGCTCCACTAGAAACGTCACGTATTGTTCATGGTTTTGAAAAGGTGAAAAGTTTCTTTTCCAGAATATTCTTCATTGGAATGATAATCTTGGTACCTTGTAAATCAGTGGCATTGTTTATTTCATCACAGCCAGAATCTAGAATTATCACCATTCTTTTGGGATACAGTGAGAGCTTTTTTCCAGCCAGACACAGAATGAGCGATACAGGTAAGGTCCCTGTTGTCATGGAGCTCAAGTTCTGTTAGAGACAGGAAAGAAAAAAACAATCAGTAAAACAGGATAACTTCATAATTCAAAGACGCCATGCACAGCTGTGAGGCTATGCACAGGCTCCATTCAAACTATAGACTAAGTGACTACTACTGCCTGGATTAAGCCCTGCCCTGCCTGGGCAACAGTACGTGGCATCCCCACACAATTCAAATAATAAAAAGCGCTATCAGGAAAATAAAACGGGGTAGCCGATGACAGTGTGGGAGTCAGTATTGTATATTGCACAGGCAGGAGAAAGCCTGTCTGAGGAGGTATCATTTGACATGAAAAAGGAAGAAGCTGTGCCAAGATCAGGGGGAAAAGCATTAAGAGGCAGAGAGAGTAGCGTATGCAAAGGTGCTGAGGCAGTCTGTATAACTGCACCATGAAGAGGTCCCTGTCCGAATCTCTGGAAGCTGTGAATATGTTACCTTACCTGGTAAAATGGACTTTGCAAGTGTGATTATTAAGTTAAGGATCTTGAGATGGGAAGATGATCTCGGATTATCCAGGTGGGACAAATGCAGTCACGAGGCTCCTTATAAGAAGCAGGCAGGGGGCTCAGAGAGTGGGAGAAGATGTGATCAAAAAAGAAGAGGCTGGGCCGGGTGCGGTGGCTCACGCCTGGAATCCCAGTGTTTTGGGAGGTTGAGGCAGGCAAATCATTTGAGGTCAGGAGTTTGAGACCAGCCTGGCCAACATAGTGAAACCCCATCTCTACTAAAAATACATGAAAATTAGCCTGGCATGGTGGCGGGCACCTGTAGTTCCAGCTACTAGGGAGGCTGAGGCAGGAGGATCACTTGAACCCAGGAGGTGGAGGCTGTAGTTAGTTGAGATTGTGCTACTGCACTCCAGCCTGGGTGGCAGAATGAGACTAAGAAAGAAAGAAAGAAAGAAAGAAAGAAAGAGAGAGAAGGAATGAAGGAAGGAAGGAAGGAAGGGGAAAGAAAGAAAGAAAGAAAGAGAGAGAGAAAGAAAGAATGAAAGAACGAAAGAAAGGAGGGAGGGAGGGAGGAAGGAAAGAAGAAAGAAAGAAAAGAAAGAAAGAAGGAAGGAAAGAAAGAAAGGAAAGGAAGGAAGGAAGAAAGAAAAGAAAGAAAGGAAAGGAAGGAAGGAAGAAAGAAAAAGAAAGAAAGAAAAAGAAAAGAAAGAAAGAAAAAGAAAGAAAAAGAAAGAAAGAAAGAAGAAGGAAAGAAAGAAAGAAAGGAAGGAAGGAAGGAAGGGAGGAAGAGAGGAAGAAAGAAAGAGAGAAAGAAAGAAAAGCAGAGGCTGGAGGGATGCCAGGATGCCACGGAGAGGGCCAAGAGCCAAAGAATGTAGGTGGCCTCTGGAAGCTGCAAAAGGTAAAGAAATGGATTCACACCACCCCCTGGCCTCAACCCCCAGAGCATCCAAAAGAAACTCTGCTGCCATCTTGATGTTAGCCCAGTGAAATCCACTTTGGACTTCTGACCCCAGAACTTTAAGATAATATTATAAATATGTGTTGTTTAAGTCACTTAAGTTTGTGGTCATTTGTTATAACAGCAATGGGAAGCTAATACAGATCCAAAGACAAAAACAAAACAAAAAGCAGAGAAGCAGGATGAGACTATGTGAGAAGAAAGTGAGCTCGCAGAAAGGACCAGCGGCCAGCTTTCCCATGGCCTGGCCAGCTGCACTAAGCAGTCTGGATTTTATCTTCAAGGTGAAAGGAACCCAGTGGAGAGTTTCAAGCAGGTAATCATACCTGGCTGATTACAGGTATGAGCCACCATGCCCAGCCTCTTTTCCTTTTAATGAATTCATTTACTGTATAAATTTGCCTCTAATGTTCACATTGTCTACATCTCAGAAGTTTTCATATATATTGCAGTTCCTTTGTAATTTAATATCGTATTATTTGTGTGTTTTCCTCTTTATCCATATGTTAAGTGTGATGCACTTATTTTTTGGTTTTCAGATATATTAAGGTGTACAGACTATATTTTTGTTGATTGATAATTTAACAGCATTGTGGTAATAGAACCCAGTCTATATAAAGCTAATATTTAAAAATGTGGTTGGACTTCTTTTGGACCCAGCACATGGTGAGTTTTTAAAACCGTTTTATGGACACTTGTAAAGAATGCACATCATTTATTGGTTAGGTGTGGGTTGTCTCTATCTATTCATTTTATAAAGGTAATTAATTCTATTACTCAAATATTCTATATGTTTGCTTTTTAAAAAAATGTATCAGTTTCTGAAACCTAATTCCTACCATTGTGGATGCCTCAATTTCTTGTAAACCTGTCTGTTTTGCTTTGGATATTTTGAGTCTACGTATAAGCCCATGATTTTACTATCTTCCTCGCAGGTTGTTTCTTTTATTAAATTATAGTGACATTTCATATCCTATGGATCACCTGAAATTTCACTTTTTCTTAGATTTCTGCATTTTAGCCTTAGCTTGGTATGTTTTTTCATCACTTTATTTTCAAGTTTTCATTTGCTTTTATTTTGGATGTGCTTTATTTTGTATTTTATTTTTTGAGAGAGAGTCTCGCTGTTTCACCCAGGCTGGAGTGCAGCAGCGTGATCTTGGCTCACTGCAACCTCTGCCTCCCAGGTTCAAGTGATTCTTATGCCTCAGCCTTCCAAGTAGCTGGGTGTGCCACCATGCCTGGCTGATTTTTATATTTTTAGTAGAGATGAGGTTTCACCATGTTGGCCAGGCTGGTCTCGAACTCTTGTCTCAGCTTCCCAAAGTGCTGGGATTATAGGAGTGAGCCACCGCCCCAGGCCTAGATGTTTATCTTTTAAGAGCATATAGCTAGATTTTATTTTGTTATTTAATTTAATAATACTTCTTTTAATAGGTGCTTATTTTATTTAAGGATATTGTGATTATAGATATATTTGGATATTATCTTAGTCATTGGGGCAGTCATAGTAAAAATTATAAACTGGATGACTTATAAACAACAAAAAGGTATTGCTCACAGTTTGGAGGCTGGGAAGTCCAAGATCGAGGCACTGGCAGAGGCGGTGTCTGGTGAGGTCTCCCTCTTCGGTTCACAGACGGCGCTTTCTAGCTGTGACCTCACATGATGGAAGGAGAAGCAAACTTCCCTGCAGCCTCTTTTAAAAGGGCACTACTCACATTCACTGGGTCTCCATCCTCTTGGCCTAACCACTTCCCAAAAGTCCTACCTTTTAGTAATATCACATTGGGAGTTAGGATTTCCCTATATGAATTTTGGGGGGACACAAACATTTATGCCACAGCAGATATATTTCTACCACCTTATTTGGTGATTTCTGGTTGTTGTTTTTTTTAGACAGAGTCTTGCTCTGTTGCCCAGGCTGGAGTGCAATGGCATGATCTCAGCTTACTGCAACCTCCGCCTCCCGGGTTCAAGTGATTCTCCTGCCTCAGCCTCCCAAGTAGCTGGGATTATAGACGCCTGCCACCACGCCCAGCTAATTTTTGTATTTTTAATAGAGACGAGGTTTCACCATTTTTGCCAGGCTGGTCTCGAACTCCTGACTTCAGGTAATCCACCCGCCTCAGCCTCCCAAAGTGCTGGGATTACAAGCATGAGCCACTATGCCCGGCCGGTGATTTCTGTTTAAAAATTTTTTCTTAAAGTGTTTTTCCCACTTAGTTTTTCACTGAATGGGTAAAACATTCTACATTTGCTTTTATTAAAACAAGAAATGAATTTCGTTGCATTTCAATTTACAGATTGTATTTCTGTTTCTCGTGATCACCCACACGTTGTTAACATGATAGTACGTGCCATGTGAGGTCAAAGACTGCTCCACTCTGGGAGAACTCATTCAAGCAAAACAGCAGAGCTGTCCCTTAAAATTGATTTCTGGGAAGATAAGTTACTTTTTATTTCATTCATACAATTTAATTTTATTTTAATTCATTTTTAAGGGAACATCACATTTCGTATGAAAAAAACAAAGATTTTTAAAAATATTCTCCTTATGGGAAATAAATATATTTATAATTACATGCCTGTAATTACCAACGCGTAGTCAAACACGCTGCTTTGATTCTCCTCTCCTGGGCACCGGGGAATTCAAGAGTGAAGTTAAACCACAAGGGCTGAGTTAGAAGATTGACCTCAGTTCCCTGTTCCCACCAGCAGGTGGCACCGTCTCCTAGCGGAATTCTTACTAGAACGTTTTGCTTCCGTTTCTGCAGAGGCATGGTGAACTGAGTTGCACCATCCAAGTGTTCCTCCTGGCTGAGTTTGCCTATCTTGTTCAGTGAAGGCAACTCATGAGGACAAATGGTGTTAATGAGAAGCTTGTGCGGAGTTAAAGGGATCCTTCTGTTTCTTTAAAATACACGTAATAACGCTAACTCTGCAATAATTTGTAGATCATTTTAAATCTTAGCCATCTTCCTCTTGCCACCCAGTGTGCTTCAAGCCACACGGTTCAGAGCACCATTTAATATGAAACTCCAGTTTTAAAACAAAGTGAACCTTCCTCTTACAAAACCATGAGACAAGTTACAGAGTAATGACCACCCACATGATCTTGAAGTGATTTTGAGTGAGTGAATGTAACTTCCGTGGCTGCCATTTAAACTGGATTCAAATCCAAATGGCTCCATCTCCATGTCATCGGACCTCTTGTGCCCTGATTCCCTTGACTAAGTTCATAGTACCTTCTACATCAGGTTGTGGCAATGGTTACCTAAGGTTAATCATTAGCACTCCTAAATGACAGCCAATATAAAGACTCAGTTCTCCCAAATCCATGATAGTAAAGGATCTTTTGGTAAATAGAGTTTGCTTAGCTCTTGCTAGATCTTTAAATACTTTGCTGGGGGCCAGGCACCATGGCTCACACCTGTAATCCCAGTGCCTTAGGAGGCTGAGGCTGGAGGATCCCTTGTGGTCAAGAGTTTGAGACCAGCCTGGGCAAGAGAGCAAGGCCCTATTTCTACAAAAAATAAAAATTAGCCAGGCGTACTACACACTTGTAGTCCCATTACTTGGGAGGCTGAGGCAGGAGGATCCCTCAAGCCCAAGAGTTCAAAGCTGCAGTGAGCTGTGATGGTGCCACTGCACTCCAGCCTGGGTGACAGAGTGAGACAGAGTAAGACTCTGTTTCAAAACAACGACAACAACAGCAAACAAAAACGAAAACCTCAAAACCTCTTTGTTGGACTTACTTCCGTCTCCTCCATGTAGTACTTTAGTGCCCTTGCGGCTCGTTTCTCTTTTACAAGACAACAATGTTGTTATAAAGTCATTTGGAAATGGTCCCATGGAGGAGTATTTACACAAAATTTAGCGTATTTAGTATCTTCAGAACATGGCACTTGCCTGGAATTATACTGACCTCCTCAACCCACACCAACCACCCAGAGATGGCTGTTCTCGACTCCTCTCCCTGGGGCCCTGTCCTTCTCCTCCTCCTCCTCCTCCTCCTCCTCCTTCCTTCTTCTTCTTCCTTCTTCCTCCTCCTCCTCCTCCTCCTTCTTCTTCTTCTTCTTCCTCCTCCTTTCTTCTTTCTTCTTTCTCCTTCTCCTTCCTTTTTTTTTTTTTAGGAAGAGTGTCACTCTGTCACACAGGCTGGAGTGCCATGGTGTGATCTCAGCTCACTGCAACCTCTGCCTTCTGGGTTCAAGTGATTCTCCTGCCTCAGCCTCCAGAGTAGCAGGGACAGAGTAGCATTTTTTAAGTAGAGATGAGGTTTCACCATGTTGGCAAGGCTGGTCTCGAACTCCTGATCTCAGGTTCTTCTCCCGCCTCAGCCTCCCAAAGTGCTGGGATTACAGGCGTGAGCCACCGCACCCGGCCCTTCCCACGTGTTCTGGCAGGGAATGCTGTTGTCCCCCAAGCCTACCCTAAGAGGAAGACTTCTTCTGGGGAGAGATGCTCACTGTGCCCAGGTCCTTCCCTGGCTGGAGCTGGCAGGAAGGGTCCCAGAGCAGGGACTTGTGCCACTCTGCCCAAAGCCAGAGTCCCTGAGGCACCCCCTCCATGAGGCACCAAGGTGAATTCCAGCTGCCAGTTAGTATTTAACTTTCCACATATGATTAGATTAAACATGTGGGTTCATAAAAGCCTAGGATTGCAGACTGCAGTTGCAAGGGCTTAGATGGTCCTAAGGTGAAGGTGCCCAGCAGGCTGAGGCTTGTGTGCAACCCACAAGAGAGCTCGCTCACACCAGCAAGAAGGTTCAGAACAGCCTGGCTTTGGAAAGAAATTTCATCCTGCCCACACACTGCATAGGTAAGTCTTAGCACGCGCTCTTTATGTTTTGAGGAATTAAGTAACAAAGTTATCTATTTGCCTTTTCCAGAAAATGATAAAAGGAATTATTTTCCTGGTATATGGCCTGGCTCCTCATCCACTCTTCCTTCTTTCTTTCTTGTGTTTTCCGTACTCATGTCTTTGTTAATTGCCTTAGAACGAAAATTTTGGGAGTATTTTTAAATGGAGGATTCATGGTAAATGCAGGTAATCATATTGTTTTCTCTTCTTAATACGAAAATGAAAGACTTTGCTGCCTTTTGTAGGCCCAGGTGATGCGAGCGATCTACCACGTTTCAAGAAAAGAAAACTTTGGGGCCAGGCGCAGTGGCTCACGCCTGTAATCCCAGCACTTTGGGAGGCCAAGGTGGGCGGATCACCTGAGGTCAGGAGATCGAAACCAGCCTGGCTGACATGGTGAAACCCATCTCTACTAAAAATACAAAAAAATTAGCCGGGCGTGTTGGCTGGCGCCTGTAGTCCCAGCTACTTGGG